CCGGTCACCGGCCCGGTCACCGGTCCGGTCTCCGGTCTCCGGCCCGGTCTCCGGCCCGGTCTCCGGTCCGGTCTCCGGCCCGGCCCGGTCCGGTCACCGGCCCGGTCACCGGTCACCGACAAAAAAAGTATATACTCTCTTACCCCGACCTTCCCCGACAGCTCTCGGGCGGACGAAACACCGAACAACGACTGCTTCGCGCCTTGGTTTTCCCTCGGCTTCCTTCCACGATGACGGCATCCTCCGAGTTCAGTGGGTCTGACGGCCCTGATGCATGCGGCCAGAGGGGGTCACTTGTGCGGGGTCCCAGGATGTTCTGCCAGCGGTCGAACGGCAGCGGTGTCTCTTTGTTTGTGGTGCGGGCGTGATGACGGAGCTGGCTCAGGGGACATAAGGCTTAGTGGCGTACTTATGATAGACTTAGGGTACGGGACGGGGATAGAAGGTGATCTAGCGGTGATCCTTTTGGTTCCAGAATCAGAAGATGTCGGATCAGAGGGTTTGGTGGACCACATCCACGAGAAGAGAGGCGACAACACGTTGATCAAGATGAACTGTTCCACTTCCATGTCGCGAAAGGTAGATTCATATTGTAATGAGAAGCCGGCCCTTTGCAATGCATCATATTCTCTATATAAGAAAGGTTTCTTCGTCATTGCCTAGGGACCCTGGACAATTGCCTCCTCGTCCGAAAATGCGTTCCTCATCTCACCAGGTGCACTCAGCTTCAACCCAACTGAACAAGAGTCATACTTGGATCAATCCTGTCACTGAAGAATATACTTGGACACACCCTGCTTGCCTACTATAGCTATACATCACTGGAAGGAATATTCATTTACCTTGACACTGGACACCCAAAAGGGTGAGGCAAGTATTTCCTACATGGATTGCTCGGGTGTCCTTTGCAAAGAGGTGCTTTGATTAAAATAAGTTTTAAACCATTTTCCACCCTCAAGGTTGTGGCAAACAGTTTTTTGCTTCAAACAGTTATGGTCCCCACGTTGTAGAAGAAATGCTGTTTCTTCCAAAGCCTGATGGAACACTTTTGTCAGGGTCTTCGCAAGTTTTCGGCACAACATGCTGCTCGTGCAGGACATGTGTCATGGCGCTCATCGATTCAAGAGCTGCCTTGGATGCTGAAGATGAGGTCATCAACAAAACGGGCGTGAACCAATGGGTTTCCGTATGGCAATGCTTTGACCACCGAAGATGAAGAGAATAGATTACGACGGAAGTCAACCGAAACTACCACGGTTTTGAGCTCCTGGTTTTGACCCGCTGGCTATTCACGTTGCTTTTCCCAGGGCTCTTTGAAAGGAACAAGAGATGAAAAAAGGCGACTCTCCCCAAGTGCAGAACAACATGGAGGAATCCCACTACATGAAAGTTAGTGATCAAACAGGCCACCATCACAGGTATTTCATCATATATCATTTGTTTTTGTTGATCAAAGATCGAACAGGAGGAAACTTTGTGGAACTTGTGGAGGGGACTGGTAGCATGTTCCATCATGTTCTGTAGTCTGCCGAAAAGTTCTGTGCTGGCTGGGTTTCGAACAAATTGAGTTTCTCCTACCCCACGAAAAAGCAAAAGAATTCCCTGATCTGTTGGAAGATGGTCCACTCATCCCACCTTCTCTTGCCAGCCAGCAGCGGGGAGAAAAGGATATAGAAAAGGCACATCTCGCCAGGTGGGTGCAACACCCTTGCACTATGCGGCGCTGAGTGGTGACCTCTACGTCTTCGAGGCCGCAGATACCCGCTTTCCGCTTTCCGCGCTCGCGGACCTGACGGGTGCGAAGGAAGGGATGAAGGGTAGTATACGGATGAAGGTCTTCTAAGCGTTGGATACCAGTCTTAAGGTACGGTGATACCAGAGATACCATAAAGAGGGTCTCAATCCAGATGGTGATACCTTAAAGTTCCTCAAGGTTGAATACCTCATCCATCCACGACGTGCACCGTAAGGGCCCACTACCAGCCATCATCCGGCAGTTTCCGGTGATGGGCTCAATTCAACATCAAGCTGCCCTAAGAATCTGAGACCCTCAATTCCGGCGAAGTGTTTTGAAGGTTCAAAGCTGTGCAGGGTCAAAAGCCTCCAGTTCAGAGGCAGGTTACGCTGTCAGGGCCTGCCAGGGCAGGATGAACATCAGCGGGTTACGCGCACAAAAACATGCACATAAGCCTGGTCGAAGGTCCCACGAGCTGTCGCGGATGGTGACCGGAAGATACCTGAAGTTCTAGTCTCAGTCGACTTACGCCCCTGGAGACCCACACGGAACCTGAAAACCATGCCATTGAAAACCACTGGTGTGTGGAGAATGTATCAATCTTCCTTGCAGTTCCATGCCAGTTCCATGTAGGTCTCTTACCGAGTGTACAACCTTTTGTTTCGTTCACAAGTCGCATCGTCGATCCTCTTCGGCAATCCGTCGGGCTGAACGGATCGGCGGTGAACGAAAGGCCTTGATCCTCGCTGGTGCAGATGCCTCGTTGAAGGACACCATGCAGAAGACCGCCTTGGCACGGGGGCATAGGAGAGTCACAGGTGAGTCTCAGGGAACATCCAAGGATAAACACATCTACAGAGAACGGGTGCAGGTTCAGATGGTGCTGGTGACGGTGCGATGTCGCTCTGGTCGGGTGACTGAGGACTACTTGCCTTCACACATCCAGGAGGATCCAGAACTCCAGCAAAGTCTGGGGCTCAGGTGGCCCATGCACCCAGCGAATTAGACAGCGAATGATGGATGTCCGTGACTGAAACTTTGGGGCTTATACAGCTTTTTCTTTGGAGAAGTATGCTTGCTTTGATGTCTTCATTGATCTTGCTTTGAGAAGGCGTGACGCGAAAGCACATACAGTATTAATAGGTGTTGGACTCTTCCCGTGGGATTTAGGGGTTTAGACGTCTGGACCAGTTTGGACTGTTTTGAGCTGGTCAGCTAGCTGCAGAATGGATTCCCAGCGTCGTTGAGCATCGGTAGTAACATCGGTTTATGATCAGATTTCATCTTGTCTCTCAGAATCATAAATTCCAACATGGAGATGTAAAACCTTTCTGATCCTTTCTGGTTGCTAGTGGGTCACTCTATCAACACTCTATCAACACTCTACATTATTGGTGAAAGGACTTTGTGAGGGTGGACACTTTTTGAGCGCGAACACCTGAGGCTTTTGAGCAGATTGTCCACCCAGACCTTTGAGCAGATTGTCCTTTATCATGAAGCAATCACAAAACAACAGGAATTCCATACCCAGACACGAGTCATGGGACTGCCATAGGACTGTCGATCAGTTGGGGTGGTGCCAAGGGGGTCAATGGGGCATATATGGCGATACATGATGATAGATGGAGTGATTGGGATTTACATGGTCACCAACGTTCCTCGTAAACAGCGTCCTCGCCTAGATTTACTTCCTCGTAACGTTCTGAGGAGTGTAATGTATACTGTAAATTACTGTAACTACCGATTGCAGGGTGTCCATGGCCCATGGCTTGCGTCTGGCTACCGGTCTTAACGGTGGGCGACCGGTCTTCGGGGTGTTTCGGGGACCCCTGCGCAGTCGGCACATGAAAAGCACTGAAGAGGTTCTTCAAATTGTTAAGACCCTTATTATATAAGTAACCGATCTCCTTTATAATGCACCATGTTTAATTCCATATTATTCAAACACCACCTTCATACATCCAGCAGTTTGAATCTGCAGCTTCACCAATAATATCCCAGCAGTTTCAATCTGCACCATTCATTTGTAAGCTCCACCGGCTATTTCAACTCCGACGGATTCAGAAAGTTAAGTCACATTCGTTCGGGAAGGACCGTTCGGGGGGATCTCCTCAAAGCTCTTCAGGTTGGCGAGCTGTCCTTCGGCATGAGTTGCACTATGGCGTCTGAGAGACACTGAGGCCACAGAATGGCACCAAATCAACGGAGTGTGCTGATCCCTCTCCACTCCCAGCTGCAACGTGTTGTGGTGTGGGCGATGGGCATCAAAAACAGCGAACAAGACACATCCTTGCTTTATAAGACAAAGGAATAACCAAGTTTCAAAGGAATTGCATATATGCATTGCGCTATGCTCAAACTGATGGAATGCAACAAAGCACAAACTGTAGTTTCAATTTGAGCGACAGTGTGTATCAAGCCCGTGCGCCATAGCAGCCTCTCGCGGACAGTCCGCAGAGCTGTTTTCAACCGGAACAGGCGCAGTGAGCCGTTTGCGAGCTTTTCCTTCCAGGTGTACTATATAGTTGATGGTGGTGCGATGCGAGTGGAGATTGATTTGGTGAATGACGCAGACCAGTCAGACTGGCTAAAGTATGATGAATCATATTGATTTAAATTGTTCTTTTGTTGAGAAGTGTTTAGTCAGGTGCTCATAGAAGAAGGCCAAAGGGATCCACAGTTCAACAACAAAGTAAAAAACAACTGATGTGACTACAGTCTCTTTGGTACTAATCTGCGGGTCATGAGGAGTTTTCGATGATATGCAGACCTGACCAGCATGGAAGCCCCAACAGGTGTACTATAGTTTTGTCATGGAAGAACTCTCCCAGGCAAAACCTCCCACAAGTCCCACAAGTTATAGGAGGAAACCGACGCAATGGGCGTAACGCCACGCTTGGCCAAAAAGTGTCCTGAGACGGTCCTCCTCAGTCCTCTCAAAAAAGACAAATACACACAGACACTCCATGTATGCCATATATGCCTACATTGGGGTGGTTTCAGAGGTCAATGTAGGTAAATATGCCATACATGGAGTGTTTGGGACATATCAATAATCACCATTTGGTCACCCCAAAGACTCAGGGTCCTAAGAGGATGTAGTTCCCATCAGGTGATTTTTGGAGGTCATAGTTCGCCCACAAAATTGCTCTTCGGTTTGCATAGAGGAACCCTTTGACCTCAGGCCTCCACTTGCAGCCATCGATGGACTAATGCCCACGCAGCAGTCCGAAACTCTGACTCGAATCAGCCAAAGGTGCAGAAAGAGGCAGAAAAAGGAGCTGCCAGGGTCGGAACCTTGAAGAGACCTGTTGGTTCTGCTTCAAATAGGCTGGAGGCCATCGCTATTCGGTTGGAGGCCATTACTAGAAGCAAGAAGCTACTAGGTTGGAGGCCATTGCTCTATAGGTTCACCTTTCTTTCGGCGACGCAACGTCTCCTCCCTTCCTACGTCTCCACGCCGCGACGGCAGCGCGATCGATCCACCGAGCGGCTTTGGTTCCTGGTACTCGGCCCGGGCGACTCGCCCCGGTAGACAAGGCCGCCCGGTTCGGGCATGACCGTCCCGGGGATTTCGTGATTTCCGGGACCGTGGGGCGGAAGGCTTCGGTGTGACGAAGCAAATGCCGCGAAGACATGGGACATGTTGCAGTACTGCGGCACTGGACGCACGGCTTCTTGGTATTTTTGCCACTCCCCGACCCCGTGCATCTTACTGCGTTCCGGCAGATCTGCGTCCAGAACATCAGATGCCTCATGCTGTAAATCGGCTGATCTACTTAAATGCCAAGACTGTCATCACTTGAGGATGGCCATGTGATGCACTCTTTCCCTCTTCGACCTGCACTATCAGCACCCACATCCCTTGCCTTTGCCTCCTGGGATTACCGTCTACGGCGTTTCTCCCCATGGCCCGTGTGCCCGGTGCCCACGCCGAACCGCGATCGTTGGAGGTTTTGGAAGAAGTGCTCGTGGCCTTCGGAAGTGCTCCCCAACTTAATAGCGATGGCCTCCAACCGCGTAGCGATGGATGGCCTCCACCCTAGAAGCGATGGCCTCCAATAGAAGTGCTCCCGCCAATCGTGGCCTTGGAAGTCGCGCACGGCGTCGCGCACGCCGTCGCGATGAGTCCCGCAGATCGCACCGGTTGGTCTTCGCTGGAATTCTATGGAATTCTTGTTTCCGGCGCATACATAGCTCTACATGTTGTTTCTCTTCTTTTTTGGGGCTTTAATAATCTACATGTCATGTTGTACATGTTGATTCGATCTACATGTCATAAATTGTTTTTTGCCTTTCAAATGTGCGGGAGCTTCACACCACAAATTCCCGGGTAGATTCTACGAGCTCCTCACTGCGTGCACCACCTTAAGTATCCTTATTAAGTCAACTTGTTTGGATCGAACTTGACGATTTGAAGTTGTGAAGCTTCACAAACATACAGATGTTGACGTCTGACCTGCTCCGCTCATTCTCTTCGATGCCGCCCACGCAGGTACGAACAGCCGAACGGGCACCCCACGCAGGTACGCGCTTTCGGTCTCCGCCCCCGGACGGCGGATCCTGCGGACTGGCGGTGGAGTCCGGCTCCACCCTTTCCAGCCGGTTCCAGCCCGGTGGTGGAGACCATCTGTCTCGGAGCCCTGAGGTTTTCGGTCCAACGAACCGCGTGCGTGCGTTACCAGGGCTGCCCGTCGTGGCGTCAGGCTTTGGAACGTGATCGTACTTCGTGGTCCGAACTGCCCGGATACTTCGGGGGACGTTCGGTACCGCGATTCGCGGTGGTGACGAACGCACAGAAAAACCGCCCAAGCGATGTGAGACGAGAACAAGCACCCAAAAGCTGTTTGAGAGTTCACATGCAAGGAGTACACAGGAGTAACAGAGGCGCATGAAGAATCATGAAGAACAAAGGACAAGCAGGTCGATATGTTCTGCACAACCCCAAATATCAAAATGACGAGGAAGGATGCAACGAACCACAATATGTGTGCATATGTGCATGGACATAGTGGATAAATTTGCAAGCATGTAGTCGCGAAGCCACAGCATCGTCGCAAACAAGTCTAATCGTACAATGTTGAAGTACAATCCCTGCAGTGCCGCTGTGAGTACGGGAGGGTTCGCTATTCCACATCGAGGACTTGCTTGTTTGTCATGTTGCATACCGCAGCAGAGTCGCTGCAACATTGGTGTTTCTTGCAGTGAAGGCAAAAGCAGACGAAAGAAAGGCTAGTAAAGGCAAAATCACACGCCAAAAGCTTTGTGTTCACCACTGAAAAGCGGCACAGTAGTCTGCAAGAGGGATTTTCTTTGCCACCAGGATTGTGCATGTTTTTTTTCTGCTGCCTCTCTTCTTTTTTACTTCTGCACTCCGCTTCACCTTTGGCGATGCACTCTGACTCTCAGTCAGAACTGTGTGTGAATTATACATTGATCCATAAAACCCTGATGAGCTTAGAGTGAGCCTTCTTCTTTCTCATGAATGATGCCCTTTTTCTGTTCCACCCACTTTGCAGATCTTTGCTGGAGACTCTGTGCGTGCGAGCTGCGATAGGTGGAATCAAATCCTTCCCGCCTGCAACAAGCAAAATGAATCTATATAGGTAAACCGCCAGTATGAAATCACTGCTTGCCTCGCCTGCGAAAACCAACTCAAAAAAAGACATGCCCGCATACTGCAGAATCCTTCTTTGCTATGTTTGCCTCCTTGTCTTCATGAAGTGTTTCCTTGTTCCTTTAAATATGGTTTCCTCTTTTTTTTCTGGCAGATTGTCCAGAGAACGACACTGCGCACCCGAGCAAACGTTCCACCTTGCGCTGCGGAGGCAACATTGCAGGCATCTAGTCCGTCTGCCAACCAAAAGTATGTCCTTCCTAAAGGTCACCCAGCGAATTTAGGGGATCTCTCTCTCGTCCTCGTCGTCCGAACGCAAACACCCGGGCGGGCCCTTCCTCCGCGGGTGGATCAGCTGAGGTGTAGCGGGTGGATCAGCGCAGCAAGCTGTCGCTGTCAAAGGTTGGAGAATGATCCCTATACACTCTGGATTTTTCTGTAATGACTGATATCTCAGACTAGTGTCAGGGCTTGAATGCTCTTGATGTCTTTGTTGGGCTTCAACGTTTTGAGGCCAATTCTGCTAGATGTTTCATTGTGTTTCCCACTGCCCCATGTCATGCTGCAAAAAAAATGCAGCCATCAGAGGTAGGGAGCGCAAGTAATCAAAACCGGATGGCCGCACAGCCACAACAACCCTAATCACCAAAACTGTCTTCGCCTGGATGGACATTTGGAGGGCCCTGGGTTCTTCTTACACACTCGAAGAAACGTTGATTCTAGCAAGCCCTTCAAGCCTGGAATCATGGACTTGCTGGGCCAAGGTTTCTTTGGGGAATTAACTCGGTGAGACCTTGCTTTGGCAAGTGTTTGCTTGGCCTCCAAGTTTGCCAACACCAAGAAATACCAAGAACTTAAGAGGTTAAGGAACGGTTTTGAAGGATTTGGGCACTTTTTTGTGGTGTTCCAGAAATCTGTAGAAGTCTACTCGTCCACCGCGACGCCAAAAAGCGACGCCAAAGCGACGCCTTCATTGGTATCTTTGGGTTTGTAATGACAACTGTCGCCTCGTGTCTTGTCAGATCCACAGTTCCCTTCACTGATAAATCCCACTCATGTATGACTCGACCTGTGCAACTCTAATTTTGACAGAATAGTCCCGTCAAATTACTTTACTTCGAGTGATCCCCGCCATTGCATTTCTGTGACTTGTTTTCACGCCATGGACCGCAAACATGCAGCATGGCCTGGGTTTGCACTTGCCAAGCATCTGTTGCCAAGTAACTCCTTCCAACTCCAGTTCACTTGTGCCTTCTGACAGTGTGTGGGTTCAACGATGGCTAGGCATAGCTGTCAATTCTTGGCACGAAACAAATGAGTCCTTTTAGGATTTTGTGTTGACCCAAATCCCCCATTTGCTGTGTGGCTCAATACTAGTTCCAAGCGGGTTGCATGCGGTGCCATAAATGCCACCAGGTGGCACCCGCTGAGGGAGATTCCTGGTGTCTTGGGTGCTCATCAGGCGAGGCTCTCACTAAGGAACTCGCTGGGCACTGGGCTTCAGCGGGGGCTAGGACTTTGGCCGAGGACCTCATTTTGTCTACCGTGAGGCAGGTGAGGTTCTTGAGGAATCTCACCCAAGGCATCCAGTCCAACCAGCGAGCTTCCGCCCAGGCCGTTTCGCAACGTGCCAAGGGGGAGCCGCCCGAGAGGCCAGAACTTGCCCGAAAGCGCCCGGCCCAGGCCTCAACGGCGCACCACACGACTGCTCCCAAGAGCAAGGCAAACAAGGACACTAAGGAGGAGTCCCCCGTGCACTACGAGGAGGAGTCGGTTGAGGAAGAGGAGACAGAATCAGAGGCTGAGGATCCGAGGCCGGTGGGAGACGGAGCGCGTCGTCCCCCAGAGCCGCCTGGGCCACCACCGGGCAGCCGCACCGCATCGGCTGGTGGACGTCACTCCAACCGGGCCGAGACATCAAAGAAGGAAAGCAAACAGAGTCACAGGTCCCATCATTCTCACAAACCCCGTCATCGAGCAGGTCGTAAACACCAGCGACTTGGACGACTTGAGGACAAACCTCATACGAAAGTGCATCGCAAGCTCTCGCCTGCCGTGCTGGACACCCTTTCTGCCGATAGAGGCAGGGAGAGTATCTACCGGTTGCCATGAGCCGACGTGTGCACAAAGAGGGTGAGCATTTTTCATTGCTGGATCTCTTGCAATGGAGCAGCTTCGCCACGGTCAGGGGAGACATTGTGGCATTCGATTTACGGGACAGTTCACATCCTACAGACAGTTCGCAATGGGTTGCTTTCATGGTTATCCAGGTTCAGCTCAACAGGGCAGATGGTTCCTTGACAGTGGAGGCGAAGAGTCTTGGAGGAGAGAACGTGGCGCTCAGCAAAGAGTTGTCGCAACAGTTCAACCGCAAGCGTGGGAGGCTACACTTCTGCGCCTCCGACCCCTGCCTCCACGAGGACCTTGGAGATATCCATGTAAGAAGTTTCAACTGGTACAGCCTCGAGGGCTATGCAGAGCACCTCACGGTTTCGGCCCTTCGTTCCGCCCGGAAATGGGCAGAAACACCACGCGAAGCTGGCCTGGAGGAAGTCAGGGATTCAGAGGACGAGACTCATCCTGGTTCAACAGCAGAGCATGGTGGCGACCCCGGACCCGTGCCAGAGGAGCTGGCTGGGGACGAGGCTCCGCCAAGAGCAGGACAGTTTGTTGCTGGCGGCACGGAAGCACGGCAGGGAGGTGACAAAGGCGCAGGACCCCAGCAGCTCATGGATCCCTCAACGAGGAAAAGGAAAACCCAGGAAAGGAGGCGGCTGGTATGCAGAGGCAAACGAAGAAGAGTCACATTGGTGGCAACCGAAAGGCAAGGGGAAGAAGAGCAAGAGCAAGCACAAGAAGACCAAGGACAGAGAGAAGGAGCAACACGACAGTGGCCCGAAGGCGGGCGACAAGTGATGAGCCCCTTGCGGGCCCTGGAGCTGGCAGATGCCGGGCTCATCGCTAGTTTCACTACAGATACAATTCAAATGGGCTTGGAAGTCTTCACACAGGCGCTGTTGAATACAAGCACGCTGGGATCACTGGGGTGCAGCATCGCCTGGCTTTTAGTGCATGTGGAGGCTTCGGAGCGGCACGTTTTCACCAGAGCACTACGACAGATCATTTTTGAGAGCTGCAAGATGTCACAAGTCGGACCCCGCCGAGGTTCGATTTTTCCGATTCCACTTGGGAAGCTGGAGGGCTTCAAAGGAGTTGTGATGGCTTCTCGCCTGTCTCAAGTCCAAGAGCCAGGATTCGCGGAACGCTGGCAGGTGGAGGCCTGGCTGTTCTGCGCCCTGGCTGGGCTTAATGGGGTGAGCGGTAGTCTACAGCCACTGGCGCCAGGCCCGACCACGAAGGTGCAGGGCCGTGCCGTGGCCTCCTTGACCAGGACAGTGGAGCGTTTTCTTCATTTGGGAGGCTGCCACCATGGCGAGCTTGAGCGAATCCGCCAAGAGCTAAAAGGGGTGAGACTCTCATATACGGGGGAGGAGCTGTCGATCTGCCATCCGTTGACCCGGGAACAGGTTCTTCCCGCACTTCCTCCGGGTAACCATGGTGGTTCGGTCGACGTTCTCGATCTGGTATCTCATGGCACTAGGAGGCTTTTGGAACACCCCGAACTTTTGGTGATAGAGGACTCTGGCCAGGACCTCCCCCCTTTGCAGGCGAAGGTACACTGTACCCATGAGGAAATGGTTCATTTGGGACGAGATTTGGTCGATCGTAATATCTGTGCGTGGATCCCGCTCGAGGAGGTTTTTGCATTTAGGGGGCAACCTGTCCTTTCTGGACTCTTCGGTGTGGAGAAGAGCTCCAAGTTGAGTGACGGCCGGTCTACCTTGCGGTTGATCATGAACCTCATCCCAATCAATTCGTTGATGAATCCGATTGTGGGCTCGGTCAGGAAACTGCCTTCGATCACATCTTGGCTCGGGATCACCACAGATCCAGACGAGTCACTTGGGCTATATCAGAGCGACATGGCATCGGCGTTTTACTTGTTCAAACTTCCGGCGGCTTGGCATAAGTACTTAGCCTTTAATGTCAGGGTCAGAGGCTCGGTGATCGGCTTGAACGACGATCGGGTTCACGTTCTTTGTTGCAATGTACTTCCAATGGGGTGGGTCTCCTCAGTCGCGGTTACGCAAGAAGTAGCAGAGTCAGTGGCTTTTCTCCCCCTTCTTGGTCGCTTGCGTCCAGCAGAGTTCTGCACGCGACTGGCCTTGGTGGCACGTGTACTTAGACAATTTTTGCGTAGGCCAGAGGAGACACCCAGGAGGGAAGACAGAAGCTGGCCGGGCACTTCATGAGCATGTAGAGGATGCTTGGGATCGTGCTGGCTTGGTTTCGTCGGTGAAGAAACGCGTGTCGGATGCTGAAACAATTCAAGAACTTGGTGCATGGATCGATGGCTCCTCTCAGACCATTTCGGTTTCCGGGGAGCGTTTTATCAAACTCATCCAGGCCACCCTCTATCTACTTAACCAAAGATTCTTGGGAAAGAAACTAGTTCAGATCGTGGTTGGTCGATGGGTGCATGCATTACAGTTTCGGCGGCCGGTGATGGGGGTCTTGCAGGAAGTTTGGAACTTCGTTAGTGCTGCACACCCAACACCAAGCATGGTTCTTAAGACCCGCAGGGAACTATGGAACCTCATCCTCCTGGCTCCATGTGTGCACACTTTCATGGGAGCGCGCATCGACTCGTCCACTACGGCGTCCGATGCCTCCATGAGGGGAGGAGCGGTAGGTGTCGCAACCGAGCTTGGTGTCGAGGGGCGTGATTTCGTTCTCAGTTCCATAGCACGGAGCAGTGATGTAGGCACAACCCCCATCTTGGTGCTCTCCCTCTTCAACGGAATAGGCGGTTGTTTCAGGATTTATGACATCTTGGACATCAGGCCCTTAGGCTTGATCTCGGTGGAGCTCTTTGCACCGGCTAATCGGATAGTAGAGAAGCGTTGGCCCCAAGTCAAAACCGTGCCCGATGTGCGGCTGGTTGACTTGGCAATGGTCAAGGATTGGCTGCTCGAATTCCCCTCGGCCCGAGAGATTCATCTTTGGGCAGGGTTTCCCTGCGTGGACCTGTCCAGTGCCAAGGCTTTCCGGCAGGGGCTCGAGGGCCCATCATCTTCGTTGGTGCATGAAATACCGCGGATCGAGGACCTCCTTCGAAGAGTGTTTGGACCCGGCGTAGCAGTCAAAAGAACCATCGAAAACGTCTCGTCGATGGACCGGAGTGCGGCTGAAGAGATCTCCCGTATGTTTCACACCCTACCTTATGAATTGGATTGCAGTGATTCTGTGCCTATGAGGCGGCCAAGATTCGCTTGGGTTTCAGAGGCTCTGGAAAACGTCTTTCCTGATGTGAGGGTGACTCAACATGCTTATTGGAGGCGGGTCCATGCAGAGGCCACTTACCCCGAGTTTTCTCAGTGGGCTGAGCCGGGGTGGCAGTGGCCCGGTGGGGAGCAGGGCACAATCCTACCTACATGCATGAAGGCTATCCCAAGGGCTAGACCCCCTCCAAAGCCTGCGGGCCTTCGCAGGTGCTCAGAGGCTACAGTGGCCAAGTGGCGCTCTGACAACTTTCGGTATCCACCTTACCAGTATTCCCCTGAGTTCTTGTTTTGGCAGGACTCTCGTTGGCGCTTGGCCACCGCCAGTGAGCGGGAACTGCTGCTGGGCTACGGGTACGAGCACACCGCCGTTTGCTTGTCAGCCTCTCAGCAAAAACAACAGGGGGAACGTGCTGTTGAAGACATCCGGTGCTCGCTACTTGGCGATTCGTTCTCGGTGTACTCATTTGTGATCTGCGGAGCTGCCATGTGCCGACAATTCCTCCCCCAGATGACTTATGATGGATGGTTGACACAACGGATGGGTTTGGCACCGGGTTTTCGCACGCCTCTTCGTGTCGTTGCTCCCTTGGGTCGTTTCCTGCAGTACGGCTACAGGGCCACAGCACTCACTAGGACGGTCAGTGTTTCAGACCTTAACCGGGTGCTCCTAACGAAGGTCAACCACACTGGGTCCGATGTTCGTGTTGCAACGGGAGATATTTTGAACCCACGTGCTTTTCCCCGCCAGGGTGTAGAGGCATCTTGGTGGAACGGGGCACCGGTCTTTAAGTGTCGGTGGAAGCATGATGAGCACATCAATGCACTCGAGCTTAGATCCATTTTCCTGGCTCTCAAGTATCATGTGTTTCGCCGGTGTGCCACAGATGTCAGGATTTTCCATGCGACTGACTCCTTTGTTTGCATGAGTGTCATCTCCAAGGGTAGGTCTGGTTCTCGGAAGCTCAACTTTATCCTCCAGCAGTTGAACGCGTTGCTTCTAGCTTTCAACATCTACCTCATTATAGGTCATGTAGAATCCACACAGAACCCCACGGACGATGCATCTCGTGCCTAATGGGACGAAACACTCGTTCTTTTGTGCTCGGGCGCCGGTCGAAAGCCGAGCGCGCCCGGGAGAGGCAAGGCATTGTCCTTAAGGATCGGTTGGTCACCCACAAGACTTTGACACAATACTATAAGTTTACATAGTTTACTAGGAAGCTACTGCCTTGGATCCGTCATCTGACAAGTGAAGACGACTTGGATGAGGCAGTCAGTGCCTGGGTGGAGAATTCTTGGGAGACTGGCCGGCCCCTATATCAGGTTTCTTGTGGACTCTGCGGTTTGCAGTTCTTCATGCCGTGGGCAAAAGGACGCATAGGGCAGTCCTGGAAATTATTTCGTTTGTGGCGAAAACTGGAAATCCCGTGCAGGGCTCCACCTCTCACTGCTGAACTCGTATTCTCCTTTGCCGCAATGGCTATCCACAGGGGGGACTTGACTTTTGCAGGGCTGTTGCTTTTAGGCTTTGAGGGGCTACTTCGCACTGGCGAACTTCTTCACCTACGGGGATCAGACATTCTGATCAGGGATGGCATTGGTCTTGTTCGATTGGATGAAACAAAGACTTCGTTCAATAAGGGAGCTGAGGAGTTTGTTCCACTTCAACACCCCTGGGTGCTTATGGTTGTTGAGACTCTTTTGGCTGCTCGTACTGAGCAGCATGTGCTTTCTGATTTGCTCTGGACGGGCACTCCAGCATCATTCAGATTGCGTTTTAAAGAGTTTTGCCGACTGTTTCATGTCACCCACTTGGGCTTTAGGCCATACAGCCTTAGGAGAGGTGGTGCAACAGACCTCTTTCAACGGAGTTTCTCTTACGACTTAGCCTTGGACCGTGGCCGCTGGCATAGCATCCGCGCGGCTAAATTATACATCCAGGACGGATTAGCACGGCTTCCAGCACTGGCTATGTCTGACCAGGCCAAGAGTATGATTGTCAAATGGTTTCCATTGTGAACTGAGCACTTGACAGTGCGAGCTGAGTGGCCTTTCCCTTTTACTGTTGTAGAACTTCTTGGCCCCCTTTTTCATCCTTCACAGGACAAGAGCGGGGATCGTGGAGAGTAAATGAAATCACCTGCCTGATTGTAGTCAGTGCTAACCTCTGCCGGGAGGACCTAGTTCTTGAACTACCTTCAGGAGCTCCTGCCGGGGAGCGAGAAAAGATAAGAGGTGATTTTCAGAGTCACAAGCCTTTGAAAAAGGCAGGTTCAGAGTGAACCAAGAGACAGCCGCAGGCGTCTTGCAGCAAAAAGGGGATGCAGTGGGAGACACATGAGTCCTTTTAGGATTTTGTGTTGACCCAAATCCCCCATTTGCTGTGTGGCTCAATACTAGTTCCAAGCGGGCCCACCGCGCCCAGCCCTTCAGACTTCCCAAGGAAGGAGAGTAAATGAAACCACCTGCCTGATTGTAGTCAGTGCTAACCTCTGCCGGGAGGACCTAGTTCTTGAACTACCTTCAGGAGCTCCTGCCGGGGAGCGAGAAAAGATAAGAGGTGATTTTCAGAGTCACCTGCCTTTGAAAAAGGCAGGTTCAGAGTGAACCAAGAGACAGCCTCAGGCGTCTTGCAGCAAAAAGGGGATGCAGTGGGAGACACATATTTTTTCAGTGTGTCCGCTTGACTGGCTGTCTCTGAAACAGCCTTTGCTGCTGGGTCCTGCCTTAATCAGGCGGCAGGGCAAATCAAAGGTTGGTGTTTCTGTGGCACGAGGCCTAACTGCTGCAATCTAGCGCGTGTGTTGTGACTGTGGCTGTGTGTTTGTGATTGTTGTTGTGTTTTTGTGATTGGGTGTTTGTGGTTGTGTTTGCGGTTGTGTGATTGTGTGTTTGTAGTCTTGCGTTTCGTGGTTGTTTTGCGGTTGTGTGTGATTGTGTTTGTCGCTCTGTGTTTGTGATTGTGTGCCTGGGATTGTGAGTTGTTGGCTGTGTGTTTGTATTGTGTGCTTGTGGCTTTGTGTTTGCAGGGTACGGGTTTCTTTGCGGCACCTGGCAATGTGGAGGACATGCCCATCGTGGCGAGCGGCTCCCGGGTGGGGGCGGCCGTCGGCTCGCAGAGGGGACGCCAGGGGGACATCGCGGCAGAGGGCTTTGCTGCGGCGCGAGGCGCCGTAGACGACGAGGCCCAACCGTCGCCAGCTGAGCCACTGACGATGCCTGTGTCACGAGCACATCCCACCAATTCCGCCTCCAGAGTGACCTGGCGTCAAAAAAACACAAAAAATTTTTCCACATACTCATGTGGTAAGTACCAAAGAATATATGTGTTTGCACTTTTCTCTTCTCTTCTCTTCTCTTCTCTTCTCTTCTCTTCTCTTCTCTTCTCCTTTCCTCGCAGGTCCCAATGGGCTATACCTCAACTGCACATGCGTGATTGCACTGTATCGTGGTGGGCACCACCGGACCACAACAGCAACCGCCAGATCGCACTGGGCACTACAGGCCACCAATGCCAGTGCCAGATCGCAGGGGCACTACCGGACCTCAACCGCAAGTGCCTCCTCGCCTGCGAGATCGGGGGCCCCTAGCGCGCATCGTGTGCAGCGGGCCCACGCCGGGTGGCATCGACGCTGGTGGGGGCTGCTGACCTGCGCCTGAACTGAACTGAAGAGGGCACTCCCCATGCAGGGGGTGGGAGTTCACGTGGAATGGAAGCTTTTTGAAGGCAGGAGAGAGAGAAGAGATTGCAGCGGCAAGCGTTGGAGACAGCAGGTACTGAGTAGCTTAGGGGTGCCCTTTTTTAATCTTCCCGCGGACGGGCTTTTGCCTGCGGTTTTAGGCCTCGCTGAGTCCTGGCCCCCCAGCCGCCCCCCCTTAATGTTTAGGGGCATGGGGACCTAGGACAGCGTCCCTTGTACATAGCTCGTTGCGCCGCCTTTCCGGAAGAACAAAAGCCGTGGGAACGAGGCAGCCAGTGGCTCAGCCGAAAGGTGGCGTCCAGTGCATTTTTGCTAACAGCAGTATGCTTTGTGACAAAATTGTGAATATACAGGGCTGGCTTCGTTTCTTCAGTGCAGTCGGAACCCCTGTTGCTACATTTGCCTCAGGTCACCGTGTTGCTCATGCAAGGGATTTGGCAAAGTTGGACATTGGTGCCGCAAATATCGGAAAAGTGGACAGCATAGATCCCAACATTCCTGCAAGACAAGGCCTTGCATCATTCTGGAAGTTCATTGAGCGTTTGGGACCTATGTTGTGGATGTACCTGCAGATCATTGGGTCCAAAGATCCATTCGATGGCAACCACCATTTCCGACGAAGTCCGGGCTATCCAAGGCACACTTGGCCAACGGACGACCACATGTGGATGCAATTTTCGCATGAATTCGTGACGTTTGTCCGTGGACGCCACGTATGATGACCATACTTTAGCCGTGTTTTGCTTCACAGTATACCGCGGTGGGTGGTTTCCACCTCTCAAGCATGCAGGATGAAATGAAATGAAATGTGCAATGTGCTCGTGACATTTGTTCTCGCAAGAAGTATAACAAACGTTGTCAGGATTCTGCCGTGTAGTATGGCATATTTGTCGACTTCGTCTCCCACACATGTCCTGCCATCAAATTTGAGCAATTGTTCCGGAATGCATATGGTCACGCATTTTGACATTTTCGTCCATCACGGGTGAGAGTTGTTTGGACACGTGTTCCGGCATGTGTTTGTGCATTTATTCCTTTTGTGTTCGTTTTAAGAAGCCAGCCGTGGGTGGTCCAAAATTGCTAGCCGGTAGCCCCGGATGTTTTTTTTTTTTTTTTTTTCGGGGGGCTGCTGTGCTACTTAATGAATACACGGTACATGTTCCATCAACCAGTGAGATTCATGATGGTGCTGTCAAAATCTCGACTTGCTCGTGGCTGGTTTCGCAGTTTTTGCTGGGCCCAGTGGGAATTTGCAGTGCACAATGGAGAGTCCGCGAAGAATGTCAGAGGCAGGGTGCACAGAGGGGCGTACAAGAGGAACATGTATGTTGAAATATCCACTATGAAATGGGGGGGGGTCATCTCCCTCTATTAAACGTTCTATGTATTAACTTTTGGGGGATACACCCATTCATTTCATAGAAAACATACTGTTTCCAGGATCGTGAGTGATTTTTGCACCCCGCCATTTCATAGAAAGACAGACTGTTTCCAGGATGGTGATTGATTTTGGGCTATGGAATCAAGAGTATGTGAGCAGTGCTGTTCAGAGATGTATACATGTTTGTGTGACTCCGGGTTGGAGACAAAAAATCTTTTTGTTGGCAGAAGCTGTGCTGCAAGGACTTGCGAAGTCTCTTGGACCCTTATGGGTCATTTGGCTATATTCCTGGCAGGTCTAGTAGGCAACAAGCACAAGGGCGCAAGGGCAACGACAAGCAACTGGAAACACAAGCAGTGCAGTGGTTGGAGGGATTTAGAATGGCCTAGGCCTATGTAGGGAATAGTAAAACTTAAGCAAACTTCAGCATCAGTGTCAACCTTCTAGCCTGCTTGGGCTTGGCCAGAAACCACCATGCTATAAAATGGCAAGGAGTGACCTTCCCAGGGTGCATAATGTTGCTAGAGTACACCCAAATAATGACCCATGAGTTTCCAAGAGGCTGGGCAAGTCTTTGGGGCACAGCTTTATGGACCCTGGGAAGGTCAAGCCTTGCCATTTTATAATATGGTGCTTTCTGTCTCTGGGGTCATTCAAGATCATGTCAGTATAACCTAGGAAGATCTGGAGGGCAACTTGCCTGGAATGTACAAGGCCAACAACAACCACCTGCAAACAAAAGTGCAGAGTGCATGGAGAGATGTAGAGATATCTAAAGGGTGAAAGTATAAGCAAATTTCAGGTGGTAAAACATCATTTCATGTATCCCTGTGCCATAAATGGCATTGAGATGGTTTGGGGTTTCTGGAAGTTATTTTTCATGTCCTATGCTCTTTCTATGCAGGGGCGCCTTGCCATTTTATAGTGCTACTCATGTATGTTGGAGATGTGCTTCGAGGTCAGCCCCCCAATTTATGAAATTCTCTGTGAGGTCACTCATCCTCATAATATAGCCAGACTCCTGGTGCCGAGGTCAATGCACACCGTTTTGTAGCTATAAAATGGTTCCCTAGACCCCCCCGTGGAAGTCAACATCCATAGAGGAACTGCCAAAGTAAACCTTGTGTGTGGATGAAATTCGTGCTGTTGGGATTCCTCTCTGTGGTTGTGATGCGCGTGCGTTGACCATACTTGTATAAATTTGGGAGGCACTCAGTCTCAATGATTATATTTGACCGATCGTCATTTCCGCGACCTGTTGGCGCCCCGCCTGTTTGGAACCGAAAAAGAACCCGCGCTCAGCAAACACCAGTGCAAGCACTTGTTGCGGTTCGTTCCTGCTGGGCCCCAGTTTTGCAGGCATCAAACCTGCGGAACTTCATCCAGGAAGAATTTCAAAAACAAACTGCGCCGCTGGGATTGAAAAGACAGGCCCCCGATGGCCCCCCCAAGTGGGGATAAAATGTGTTTGTTTATCCTTTGGGGTGAAACTTGGGTGTCACTAGTTTTTCTTTGCTCCGCGGAGCGAAGCCTTTGAGGATCCTGTTGGCCCTCACGCACGAAGTCAAGATGCACATGGTAATTTCCAGTTCTGTCTATTCCGACCTCACCACGGTCATGCCGTCTGAGAACCTTGAGGCGGCCTGAACCGTTTGTCACAATGTCGCCAGATTGTTCGGGCGTGGACGTTGTTCGTTGAAGGGTTCCTGTGGAATGTGTTTGTGCATTGAGCACGATGCCCTTCTCGCACTCCGCCAACTGTCAGGCTGTGAAGTGTGAGCCGTCGGAGATACATCCCAAGCCTGAGGGCGCGCGGCCGAGTCACAAAGTGTTAGACATGCAACAGGACGGGGGTTTCTGAGGCACAACCGTTGGCCTGCTTGTAATCCCAAAAAATTTGGTAAATGGTGGAGTGGGCTGGCGGATCGGATCAAATTTTTGGCCACACACCCCAAAAAGAGGTGATGTTTGTAGTAGGGTGGGTACTGCCGACTTCGCGAGAGCATAAATCTAACCTAAAAATACACATGTTTTTAGTGCTCATTGCTTTGAATCGCACTGCACTGAATTCAGCCCACGCAATGCATACCCATGCTGTCCTCCTTTTTCCGAATGAGCCCCTTCTGGTTGCCCCAACCACACACCCCAAGCGATTGATGTGGGGATGGGTAAACATTTGGAGCCCCAACATCATGTAATTTGACCTTCCAAGGTCGGTCAACCAAGGTATCGCGGTTTTGACCACATCCATGTGTTGCAGGAGGAGCAGCATCCCCAGTCGCCAGTCTTCCAACACTTCACCACTCCTCCTGGCAGCACTGGAAACCATTCCAGTGAAGACCTGGGCACCCCATTGCGTAAGAGCACCACTAGTGGACAGCGGCCTGGCGGCACAGTGACGAATGGAAAACATGTATATATCATTACAGTTATATATTTAAATATAGATAAAAAGGTGCATTTGAAGCATTGCACTTATGATTGATTCCGTGTATAAGTGTTCCCGATCCGATCGAATCATTCATGTGAAGAAAGGCAGGGTGGACTCACCCATGGCTGTTCAGCTGTCCATGGCTAAATGAGAAAAAACACCGTTTGCAATTGAAAACACTTGTTGATCTTGTTGTCTACCCAGCTCCGCGGGTGTCAGCTGCCAGGCAAGTGAGTTTAGCGCACATAGCTGCTAAATGATACCTATGACAAGCACCGGTGCAAAATGGTTTGGCTGTTGCTTTACTTGGCCAATTAATTTGCCACAGGGTCGTGCAAAACAACAAATCCTGAATTTGAACGCCAGCACAGCATTGCAAACAATTCCACGCCCCTAAAGTTTTTCTCAACAGGGGCCAATATGAAAATTCTATGCAGCATGCTCCTCACTACGGGATGCTAGGGACATTTTGATTGTCAAGGGGATGGTTTGTTGAAGTCTCGTTTTGGCGGGAACTGGTTCAAGAACCAAAGTGCCGGTCTGTTCACAAAACCATCAGTTAATAATTATGTTTATTGGTTCTTCGCCGCCATCAGTTAGCAAATATAATACGGAATTTGACATGGCACATTCGTAGCCCGAAATCAGAGAGTTTGTTGCACGAATAAGTGTGTACAAAGGGCACAATTAATTCAAAACATTATTGGGGTCAGCCCGCACAAATGTTTTTCTACATATCGCATTTTATCGCTATTTATAGTGGGGCCGTTTGTAGTAGGAAGAGGTGACGAAATCACACAATGCATGCATGCATCATCCCGTTTGACAAGGAATCACGTTTGAAACACGTTGTGGTGATTGTTGTCGAAGAGAAACGGGTTCGCCGTTGGGTAATCGCCTAACTAATCTTCACTTATGAATTCATCTGGAAATGGGCCTGTGACAAGAGATGGCAGTGCGTAACTAATCGCGAAAGGTAGCTTGAACTACCTGAGTTCTCCTTGCTTTAGCAAAAATGTATTACAATCAGGAGTTGGGATTGTGCATTGAATTTGGTCCTGTAAGAGTTGATTCTGTTCGTCATCAAATCCCCCCTGCGCCGGTTCACGCCGTCGTGGACTTCTACCAGGGTTACTTGTGATTGCCTGCTACCTTTCGTTCACCCCGTCCTCTCTCAAGTACATACAGAACAGGACTTCCTTGTCCTGCTCAATGGGAATAAGAACAGCATTCCTGTACTTCTCACCCACGACATGTTGCGGCTCTGGTTCTCACAGGCACCCATACTAGCTAGCCGATCCTTCTCAGGTCCAAAAGAGCATCTCGGACCTGGGACCACGGTCGCCAAGCACTGATGGCAGAAGTAGTCCAGAAGCAGAAGAAGAAGGCCAGATGACCATGATCATCCATGAAATCCAGGCATCTCAGTTGCTCCGGCGCTGCTTTGCACCTGACCGAACCGCACTGGCGACCGACCGGTTCCAGGACCCTCCCCAGTCTCATACTTCAGCACCCGGCTTTACAGGTCTCTGGGTTTGGACACTTCCAAGTCTACCCATCCCAGCGATTCCAAGCAGCTCTCGGCGGTTCCGCAGGTGAAGCTGGAGACCTCAAAGTCATCCTCTTAGTGTGTGGAACTTTGGCGTGTCCGCTGGTGTTGGTGGTGGTGGTGGTGGTGGTTCAGTACATGTACATGCATGGTGACTTTGCGCCTGTGCCCACTTGAAGGAGCGTTTGTGATTCCACATGGGTGAGAGCGGAGGTGGCTGGGATGATTTCACCATCACGCAAATTCTCATTAATAATCTTCAAAGGTCAATCATTACGTGTGAGATGGGCTGGCACCAGCATGCGTCAGCCGTGATATGCCTGAGGCTTGGATGCAGAGGATCCTCCTGTCGAGGAGTTTCACCTACACCATCCTCGCGTTGATCTTGATGAACCTGGTCCTACTGGGGATTGAGGCCATGTGAGTTACTGGAACTTCAATGGTTTCGAACAGGTTTAGTGCTTGAAACCCATCAGAATTCAACAAAAAGATCGGCTTCTATTTTTTCAATGATTGTTCCGTGTCGATACCGCGGGCCCACAAGTCGGTGAGAAAGAAACACGTGGACGTGCCAAAGAAGAAACCGAACTGGCCAAAACCCTTGTGAATCCAATTGTTTAAGGGCCTTCCCCCTATTGCACACCCATTGTACCATGGCCCATCTCCTGGGACGGATCCGTCCGCAATGGCCTTGGCAAGCCCTGTTGAGGTGGATGTGGCCTCCGGCATGCCCTATGGGGAGTCCCCCGAAGCCCGGCTGGTGGAGTTCGGTCGAGCTTCGGACAGTTGACTGTCCTAGCCGTCCGCCCGGTTCGGGTCAAGGTGCTGAAAAACCAGGGAGGCCCCCTATGAGGCCATTGATAGTCTGCCTCAGAATGCAGTTTCTGCATTCCATGCGTTTGCTATCTTTGAGGCTATCTTTGGAGGTTGGCCCAGGTGGGGTAGAACCTCTGCACTCTGAACAGGAGTTGTGTTTCTTAATGTTTCTTATGATGTGATTATATTTGACATGTTTATTGCAATTTCGTGTTGAGTGTTGAGGTGGAATCATCTAGCAGCACCAACTTGTGACGCCTGAGGCCTGGTTCGCTGAGATCAACCTCCTCATCGTTTTCGTTTTCATTTGCGAGGCGAGACCTGCTCCGCATAGTGGCGGGATGACATGTGGACTCCTTTACTTGACGGTGTCCAATTCGTTCATTTTCAGGTGTGACACCTTGTGCTGGCCTTTCATGTTCTTGTCCCATTTTCTTTTCGCAACTATGAGAGCCACTCTTTCGACACGCACAGTTCCGCCTCTGACCTCTTCCGCGCGTTCAGATCGACGAGCACTGAGGTGCTGGGGATGATTTCTTGTTTCGGTGCACGGAAGTTCTTCTGCGGTCGCGAGCCATGGCAACCCGACCGAGACACAGGATATTAGCGATTGTACTGGATGGGGTTGAGTGGGTCACGCCGGCTGATTGTAGGGTACAGTATGCATTAGTGGGAGTATTAGTGAGCTCAAATGCTACTCAATTATAGTGGTAGGTAGATTTGAGCTGGCCAGAGTCTGCTGGGGGTTCAAGGCCTTAAAAACCTTCAAGGGTATATCGCTATATCTTATAATCCATAATATGATAGAGGCCGGCGCACTTTGCGTATTTGTTGGACGTGTGAATGCCGCCCGGGAGCTACTCAGGATCGGGCTGATTCAGATAGAACTTGGCTGTGTGTTGACCCCCTCATAGCAATTCTGCCATGCAGGAACGTGTAGTGCTTGGCCTTGGCCCGCCCAGTGACAGTGGGAATGCATGCTAAAATTAAAGAGGAAATGCGCTTTGTCGAGAACAAGTAGGAAGGCCAGAAATTGTCAGAAGCTGACCTGAAGGGACTGCGGAACATGTTTTTGTGGCCCTTCCCATTTACATTTACATGTATGCATACTGTTGAGGCAACAACCCTGTCAAGGATGCAATCCAATGTTCAATATTTTTCAATGCGCCCCGCAACAACAATATATATATATATACATACCGACAGAGAGGTGCTATCAATAGTCATTTGTTGTGCTGTATCTCAGCCGTGTTTTTGAACCCCACCAAGGTGGAACATTTTCGACTTCTGTGTGGTGGTGCTCTCAGCGACTTGACATCAATCTTGGACTTGCTGAATGTTTCTGTTGAATGGGAGTCGGGCCAGGCTGACCATCCAAATGCTTTCCTGCACCCGAGTAGGACACGTCCCGCCCGGGTCGTCCGAGGCTTTGGAGGTGACCGCGGAGTTCTTTGTGGAGCTGGCGACCAGCGACATGGACACTGCGCCACGGCGAGCAGCGAGTCGACCGGGGCTGGCTCCGCCGACTGGGAGAACTGGGACAGCCACAAAGCCCGACCTCTGAGCGGCGCTTGCTTCCCCCTTGTGGGGTCGAACTTCTTGGTGGTCCTCTCTCATGACCAATTGTGTTATAGAAAAGTGTCACAGCCAAAGCAATCAGGGAATCACACTTTGATAGCATCCCGCCTCTGGATGGAAATGGGGGGTGCCAGTAAGACCTTACCGGAGGCCTATGCTTTGAGCGTGGATGCCATCAAAGTGTGCTGTGTCGTGACTCCGCGGTTTGTCGCCCACATGTGAACAGCACCTTTTCGCGATCCGCTTGTTCTCTTTCATGCAATGGCTGCAAGGTCTCACTTTCACAGTGTTCAACCGTTGTCTCTCTCTCATGGCTCAGAACCTTAAGGTGTTTTGCGAGTGCCATCAAAGTGTGATTGCCTATAGAAACGACCAGTTTGTTTGTACATATATGATATGTATATAAATGTATGTAGTGTGCATAAACTGATTTGCCGTGGCTATTGGGATAACCGCTTGTTTTTGGTGATTGCAGTTTGGTAGATGACGAGTGCTAGAGTTTTCTCAGTTCTACTCCTCATGGATGTTCGTTTCAACGACCTTTGAAGAAGAACAGTGGCCTTTGCATGGAGGAACGCATTTCCTGACTATGGCACACTGGACCAAGACATCCGCAACAAACAGCGCGCCTCTGACGTGTAGCTTGTTTGGAGCTAACATTTGAACCCAGAAGTGCCAGGCAAAGGCCACGACCATCCAAGCGAAAGACCCACCCTTCTGAGGCCAACCTGCGGGTCATGCGCTTCGTGCGCATCGCGCGGACGCTCCGTGGGGTGCGCGTCATCCGCTTGTTGCGCTACATCGGATCCCTGCGGACGATTGCACCTGGGACGTGGACGTCGCGCGGGGTTTGGTAGGAGCTGCGGGTCTTGGGCAGCCGGAAGGGGTCAGGGAGGATCAGGAGTCAAATGAGAGAGGAATTCCGTTAGAATTGCATGTATGGATTCCTGCACGAGGTGTTCTCGGTCACCAGTTCGGACCCAAACCTGTGGCCCAACTACACAATCATCCAGACGATCCAGATCCATGTCAGAGCTCAGTGAAGTCAAGTCGGAGGCGACCGAGACCCCGGCATCGATTGTCAGGAAATGAGTCGAACGCAGGAACACCTGATACAAGTACGGTGAACCACTGGGTACCACTAAGATAGCCGGACTTTTGTACAAGGCTCGGAGTGTCTCAGCGGTTGGTGCTGGGGTTTCCCTGATCGAAATGCCATGGATGCTTATGACCATAGACCATTTGACTTATTGGGTGTCACGTATTTGTGGGAAACTTCTAATCTAGGGCCGCCAAGGTGGCCCTGAAACAGATACTGTAAGTCCTTTTCCGGCCAAGGTGGCTTTAGACCAAGACATTGTTGTGTTCCATTGTGTTCCATTTTGGAGTTGGAATGCCATCCCCCTGCAACTCGGTCCCAGTCTGGCCGCTAAGATCTTTTCCATCGTGAGCACCATGGGCTCGCTTTTCTGGACTCTGGTGCTTTTGGTGCTGATCTTCTACTGCTTCAGTGTCACTGGTGCAGCACACGTCAAACGCGCAACAGCTCCGGCATCCGATGAGAAGGTAGGAAGCTGGACACGGTCTTTCGCGGTCTTTGCCTCGATGGACCGTCCGTACAGGAGTTCAATCCGAGTTAGGCTTGGGATCTTGCAGCGGAGGATGCAAACCGTATGGGGATAATATGTGATAACCTCCCTCCAACGATCATGGATGCTGACCATGGCCCCATTGTAGAGGAATTTGTTTTGTCCTCCAGGCGTCTACGGTACGTTCCACTTCCATGATTGTTTAATTTTATATAGGGGGTGCAAACATGGACCAATCTCTTTCTAGGTGCTCTCCACGAGCTGGGTTTGGATCTCGCAGTCGCCAATCCTGCATGATTTGGTTCTACTTCAGGGTGCCACGGGCAAGTAGCCAATTGAAAGGATTGAAGCAAGCCAAAACTAGCAGTGCGGAATGTTGTGAGTGTGTGTGTGTGTGTGGGTGGGGGACATTGGATTCCCAGGAAATTAACCTAAATTAACAGGATTCCTGCCCCAGAGGTGCAAAGAGTGTCGCTATACAGGCGACTATGTTAAACTAAGTTTAAAAAAATTGGAGCGACATTCACAGAGGGCCGGGATGCCGCAACCACAGAACCACACAAGCACATTTTCTCAGTCCCATCACCTTTGGTGTGATGCTAGGTGGTGTTGCCAGTCCTGGTCCTGCAGCCACTGTCTCAATATAAGACTCTCATTATATTGTTAGCTTGCACTCAGGTCATCATCACCCAATCTGTGGCAGACTACTGTAGATTTGAACTCTTTATGCACGAGAACTCTTGCCCAGACGAGCTTGCGCAGTCGCACGGCTGCCCTGACCAGCGCGGACGGTTGACTGGGGGCACATGAACCTGGAAATGATCGGACCTTGTTGTGTCAGGCATGGTGGAGCATCGTTTTGGGGGGCCACGGCCACGAGGCGACTTCCCCCGCTTGTTGGCAGAGGCGCCAGCCTTGGCACCGGTCGAGCCGGCTCGGTTCTGTTTTCCCGGATGCGCTGCGCGAAGGTGATTTCTCCCGTTATATAGTTTTGCCCGGCTTGGTTTAGGTGATTTCCCCCCCCTGTGGATGAATCCCCTTCCGGGGAAGAGTTCTTTGTCCCGGTTCCTGAAGCAAATCCAAGTTGGGTGTTTGAGGGCTGGACCAGTTTTCGCCTCGTGCTGTTTGATGTTTTTGTTGGCTCCACTCGTCATCACGTCAACTCGGTGTTTGACAAACATCCTGCAGTTGGGAAGCTTTTGGCACAGGTCTTGGATTCGATGGATGGAGGAAGTCGTTTTGAAGGGTTGATGCGTCACTATTATTTTAGAAGAAGTTCTGTACGAAATGCTGGTTTTGAAGACAGGAAGTCTCGTGCGAATGTTGTTTTGAAGACAGTGTCCTCCAAATGTGCAGCGCAAAAAACATATCCGGCAGGAGTGACCTACTGTACAAGCGACTCCTACAAGAGTGTTCGACAAGAGTGTCCCACAAGAATGTCCTACAAGAGTGTCCCATAAGTGTCCTACAAGAATGTCTTACAAAAGTGGTCAACCCTGAACGGCCCTTTCTTCCCAAGCAGGATGCCCCTGTCCAAGAGTGTGCGGTTTGGATCAATACATGCGCGCCGCTCTTCCATTTACGGGCTGTACATTTCCCTGCCGTTGTTGATCATTTGATCATTTCTTTTGACGAAGTGTCAGGATAGACAAACTACACTGACTATACCAGTTCTGTTTCCTGCTATGGCTGACTTGACCCAAAAGAAAGAAAGCAATCCTAGGGAATGAAGGTGTCGCCCTGCCGATGTCTTCACCCCAAATGCGAGGAACATGGTAAGGTTGGAGGTTTCACCAGCAACTCGGAGACGAAATGATCGGCAATTGGACCTGAGGCATTGGGGCAGTGTGGGGCAGAGCATGCTAACGCTTTTCCTCGCCATCTCAGGAGAGCTCATCAGTACAGTCTTTGACCCAAGCCTCAAAATTAAATTAATCAAAATGAGTTATGTGTGACTGGCGCATGCATTATAGAAGAGGAGGGCATTCCCATAGCACAAGGGTTTCTAGATTTTTTTGTGCTTTCTGTCCCTTTCAGCAGCGGTGTGGAAGTTTGGGGAGGTCCTCCCTTTGATCATTCACTGTCCAGGAGGCCTGAGTTGGGGAGAGGCTTTGCACCCGTTGCGGCCTGTGGGGGCTACGCCTTATGTCAGTGTGATGATCTACGTGGCAACTTGGCCTCACCTGGTCAGTCACCAGTGTTACACTTCTGAAAACTAGCATGGACCTGGATTCCCGGATCGAATAGCACCTTGAAAGACTCTGTCCCTCTAGCGAACACAAAACCTGCGTCGTGGCCCGCGCGATGCGACGACAAAACCGAGAAAACTGAGAAAACCAGAAAACCGAGAAAACCGAGAAAACCGTTTTCGCGTTTTCCCGTGTGGAAGCTTTTTCCAGTTTGCTTACGTCTTCTTGCTTGTCTTGCCTTTGAGCGTGAAAACCACAACCAAGAAAACCGGCAAAACGAGAAAACCAAGAAAACGGTTTTCGTCGTTCTCGCCGTTTTCCCGTTTTCGCCGTTTTCGCGTTTTCGCCGTTTTCGCGTTTTCGCCGCTTTCGTCGCTTTCGCCGTTTTCGCCCGTTTGCGCATTTTTGTCGTTTTCGCCATTTTCGTAGTTTTCGCCGTTTGTGTCGGCTTCGCGCAGTCGTTGTTTTCTTGGTCTTCGCCACTGTCGAGGGTTTTCAATTATGCTCCTTAGTTGTGCACTAAATCTCAACGGTTGAAGTTTAAGTTCAATTCACGAATCTTAGTAAATAGGTCAGTGAATCAGAATGATCTTAATCTCCAATCCAAAAGGAATATCACCTCATCACAGGCGCTACGCATGAACGACCAGATAACGTGACCAAGTCTATCCAGAGGGTACCCAGGGATGAAAGAAAAACAAGAATCAGACGACGTCCATTCCTCTCCATCAAACTGAAGAGCCGTGGCATGCCTCATGGCTCTCCTTGTGCGGAATCGACGAGCTCTTGCGACGCAAGGACAGATTGGAAACCAAGGGCTTGCGATGGACTCTAAGTTAGTTCGTGCGCGAAATGCAGGCGCGAGTGCGATTTGACCTGGTCCGGGACAACCCTCTGCGGAGATCGTGCGTGTCGAATGCGCGAAATGCAGGCGAGAGTGCGATTTGTCCCAGTCCGGGACAACCCTCTGCGGAGATCGTGCGTGTCGAGTGCGCGAAATGCAGGTGAGAGTGCGATTTGTGTTTGTCCGGCGCAACCCTCTGCAGGACTGTGGACTTTGTAGTACAACTTCAGTGCGCGGAGCAATCTGTGGAGCTGAGAACTGGCGACTTTCGAGTAGAACTTCAGTACGCGGAGTATCGCAGGAGCTGGAAGCTGAGAGCTGGAAGATGCGAACTGGCGACTTTGTAGTACAACATTTTAGTACGCGGAGCAATCTGTGGAGTCTTAAGCTGAGAACTGGCGACATTGTAGTACAACTTTAGTACGCGGAGTATCTGGGGAGCTGGAAAATGAGAACTGGCGACTTTGTAGTGCAACTTTAGTACGCGGAGTATCTGGGGAGCTAGAAGATGAGAACTGGCGACTTTGTAGTACAACTTTAGTACGCGGAGCAAGCTGTGACGCGGAGTATCTGGGGAGCTGGAAGCTGAGAACTGGCGACTTTGTAGTACAACTTTAGTACGCGGATGAGTCATCTCTCGCGGCTGAGTCATCTCTGGCGCCAGCCGGCTCTCTTGAGAGGTTGACAAATTTTAGCTACTTTGCTTACTCATAAGTGGCTGCCACAAAAGAGTCATCGTGACGTTAGTATGTGTGTACTTCACACCTTCATGACAAACGATGTTCGCTTGGAATACACGAGTCGCTTGTCATGATCGTCACGTCGTTTACTCTCAGGTCGCCCTGCTCGTGGAAACTTCAGTGTGAAATGTACGTTCTTCAGTTCTATTTGAACCTCTTCAGCATTGTACTTGCACAGCTAAGGTTGACGTTGCGCAGCCGTTGCATCGACGCATCTACGTCATACACCCCCTCACCTCTCTACATATACACCGTCACACGCTCACATCCGCAGATCTACCTCTCCACCGCACCACACCCACACATCTGCACATCTATATCACATCTGTACATCCACACTGTCGCTCCTTCACATCTGTCCTGTCTTTCTTTCTTTCTACATATCTTTTCTCTCGTCTCTGTGCATTTACATCTTTGCACGCTCACATCCACAGATCTACCTCCACCTCCATACATCTACAGAATCTATATTGCACCTGCGCATCCACACTATCACTCCTTCACATCCACCCTCTCTTTCTCTCTTTCTATACATCTTTTCGACAGTGCTGGACAATTACATGTCTCGCTCTCGGGCCAACCGTCGTCTAGTTCTCAGTTTAACGTTTTCAACACTCTCCTTTTTGCGTGCTACTGAGGCTTATTATCAAAGGAACAAAGTCCTATTCTGCAACTCTCCATTCTTCTGAAACTGGTCTTTTGCAAATACTTGGCACGGCACTCTTCCCCAACTACTCGCCGTTTTCGCGTTTTCGCGCCGATGCGGTGTTCTAGAAAACCGTGAGCTGTGTCAAATCCAAGCACTTTGTTTCCGCCGTTTTCCCGTTTTCGCCGTTTTCGCGGTTTTCGCGTTTTCGCGTGGCCTGCCCCCGCATCACCGGGGGCCGAGACACACGTTTCGTATGCACAGCCTCTAGCTGAACCAGTGATTTTCCATGTCACTCTTCAGCGGGGTAGGCTTGTTTGGGCAGATCGTCTGAGAAACGGAGACAGGTGGAGCGCTCTAGAATCTAGAAGGTCGGATGGAGCTCGGCTGTGGACATCTGATCATTCAAACAGACCCACTAGATAGAATGATCTAAGAATGGCCGTACATCTCCATACAGGCATGCATCTGCACATGGGGGAGGGGAGTAATTAGATGTTCTTCATATTTCTTCATCAACAGCCTACAAGACGCCGCCAAGCCTTTCATCCCAACCAGGTCATCACTGTCTTTGCAATATTGAATGCGCCTTGGTTAAGACTTGTTCCGGGACGGCTTGGGTAGAAATGGCTCACAAGAATGATCTCAAGTGTCTCGACATGTCTCGACCTTTTTGGGGTCAAGTGTCTCGACATGTCTCGACCTGTAGGAATCGTTGGCGAGTTTTGCTGCCAGCCAATGTCTGAGTGTTTCCGGTCATTGTCATGTTCCTCCACCTGGTCATTCTGCTACCTGAAGGTACCTGGCCCAGCAAATCAGACCTCCGTTCAACATCTTCAACGGTGTTTTCAGAACGCAGGTTGGTAAAGGCCCTTGATCACTGGTCAATCCACTTGCGACCTGACAAGTGGGTGGCGCTATAGACTCGACCTAGCCGGAGTTCCACCCACTTGAGGGAGAGTCCATGGGGAGTGAGTAGGCCCATGCGGAGTCCCCTGGGCTCATGGGGAGTCCCCTGGGCCCTCCGAGTCCATGAGTGGTCACATGTTCCTCGGAGTTTGATCCGACGAACTGAGACCGTGAGCGGAGACGACGTCCGACCATGTGATGCGGTCGGACCTAGTATGAACCAAGATTTGGTGGCCCAGTGGTGCTTTTTCAGGATTTCTTGGATCAATAAAGCCGGCCAGAATCGACCAAGGTCGTGACTGGTGTGCTCCTCGGACAGCGCTGGTGACCGCTGGTGTGTGTGTGTGTGGCTGGGGTCATACACACGAGATCCGGATCCGTGTGATCCTTTTGGGTGCTGACATGGGTTCCTGATGTGGCACCTAATAGCACTGTGGCTATTAAGAAGGTGGTATTGAAAGAAGCCGCATCGAATTCACAAATCCCATTTCGGTCACCTTGGTTCATGGACAACCTATTGCTATCCTGTTAACGTTGTTTGTTAACAAGTTTATACCGCCTGAGATGGAGAAAAGATATAAAATGCGTTCTTTATCTTTCTTTGGCCTCGATCTGCTGGCCTCCCAGCCAGGTCCCAGGTCCGACACTGAAAGCATTGGAAGGCCTCCAAGGCCTACTCAAATTGATTTAGCATGATTAAGCAGGAACCCCCAGGTTAGCAACCAGACAGTCAACCAGACAGTCAACCAGACATAACCAGACATAGTACATGAGAATTACATATATACATAAGATTTTCTATGCATGCATACGGGCCGCACACATACGTTGTGCATCGTTGTACACTTATAATCACATAGTCTTTTGGTTTCCATGCGTGTGTCGATTCACATCATTTGTGTCTGCAAAGTGCTGTCTTGATTTCATCATTTGTGATCCTGCCGGATCTTCAGGTTTTGCAACACGGCCATTGAAAGTGCTGGGGCCGATCGGGACAGACCGACGTGCAAACACGACGACGGGTTCAGAAACTGGAGCGACGGGTCGTTTTCCAAACCCAGAGGCCAATATTTGGTATGGGTTCAGTGGTAGACATATCGGGCACTTGTCTCTTGCAGAAGAAACACCCGTGTGGAGGTTACTTGTGGAAAGTATTGGCTGGCTCCGTCCGTTGACTTCGACATTGGCGTGAAGAGTCCAATGTCGGGCATACCACATGTTTGGAATTGTGTTTGGTGATTCTGGGCATACAACACCACATGAGTGTTTGCCCAATGTCAGGAACACCACATGTTGAGCTGTTTGGTGACTTTGAGTAGGAACCTTTGTCAATGTTTGGGCCTAGGGCCGTTCAAGACCTTTCTTGCTTTCCAATGTTCAGGGATGGGATGTGGAGGGGGCTGGCTCCATGCTTATCCATGCTTATACATGCTTCCAACTTCACCACTCCCCCCAAGACATACACCCAGTCAGGTGATTTCCAGATCCTGCCAGGAGATAGCGATCATGAAGCAGATGAAGAAACAAGATCAACAGGTGGAAACCCTGAAGGCCGCCCGCTCGCTTGACCGGGGCGATGCGGTGAAGTGCATGCCAGGCCTAAGTACTAGCTGCAGCTACACATGACTTAAGTGTTTAAGTCTTGGTTGAATATGTGTTGTTCTTTACAACGAGTTGCTCACGCATGTCTCAATCAGAAAGATCAACCAAGCCATTACCAAGCCACAATCCTGCTGTCCAGACTTGTAATACATGCCTTCCCGGCCTTCCCCCCTCACAGGCTTGTGAAGCGGTCTTTGCCCGACATGTGACTAAACTTGAGTCGCAGAGATCGACGCAGGAGATCTTTGAGGAGATTGACGTGGATAGTTCGCACACGATTACGTTTGCAGAGTTGAAGGCAAGGTGTGGGTGGACGTTGCCTAGAGAGTTTGAGCAACCCTATAGTATAGCCTACCCCTTAGCAGGGTCACATGGTCTTTGACCTTTGTTGTTCCCAGATGTTCCAACATGTTGGTCTACATGTTGGTCTTCGAGAACTGACCAGTGGTTTTGGGGTTTCTTGTGTTGATCATATTTTGCTCCACCTTGGATCCCACGGAGGGCGCGTTTGGCCCTGTAAGATCAGCTTGGGGGCTTTGGCAGGGAGGCCTTCGTGTGGGTGCATTTCGGTGGATCTTCAGGGTGAAGAATGGTACAAACCAACAAAATATCACAGCAGCCCCCTTCGTTCAGGAGCAGAATCCTTCAAACACTTGGGGAGGAAGATGGCGATCGGTTTTGCTCAATTGCTCACAAGGAAAACCGGCCGCCGCCAGAACTCAGTGGAAACCAGTCATCTCCCCCGATGGTCGGCAGCTTGCTTGAGACTCCGCGAGTTTAGCCCCCAACCGATGGCCAAATGCGTGGCAGGAGGCATTCACTTGTGCAAAGATGGAGAGCTTCATGAAATCAATGGGCATCAGCACAGAGGCACACTCGCGGTGCGCTTCGCGTGCACATGTGGGCGACAGATGACGGGAAGAAGACCCAATCACTTGGGATCACAACGGGAGGGCACGGGCACCCATTTGGCACTTGTTCCGGAGAACCAACCCTTTGCAAGCGCAAGACGGCATGTGTCGACAGTCACATCGCGGCACAGACGGGAGTTGGTGGATGTCGGTGGACAGACCTGTTGCAGCACAGGGTCGGGTGATGTGCTGAGGGATTCGAGGGACCGAGCACGGACCCGACCCGTGGACGGTCGTCGACGGTCGTTTTGGTGGTGAACTGCGATCGTTGCTGATTGCTATATATACATCTATATACTTTTATATTCTAATTTATATAATACTATCTTGTATTTATAGTTCAAGGCCAGAATCTTCAAGATGTGGGTGGTGAATACCCCTGGGCAGGCCATTCTAATCATTTTCAGGGCATATGTGCCAAAGAGATGCGTTTGATCCACGCAACGCAGGAATTGCACAAAACAGGATGACAAGGGTTGCAGCCTGATAGTCTATAGTTCTTCAAGCACATGCCAGAAACCTCCCGGGGCGGGTTGTCCCTGGCAGCCATCGGTTTGTCACGTTTTTGGTGCCTCCGACGAGCCAGGATGTTTGGACTCTCTTTATGCCACTGGGCCAGATTTTGGGTCAATGGGCGGCCCCTGATCCCTTGGGCTTCAGAACCCCAATCAAGGCAAAGAGGTGGGACGAGTTGACAATTCAAGGCAATTTATAAGAGTTTATTGGAGGTGGAAGTTCCTTGTTTCGTTTTTTGGGGCGGACGATGCTGTGACCCATTGAATTCAAACAGGAAGAAGGACAGGGACCATCAGGGACCATCAGTGAGCTGCTTAGCATAGTGAGCTTCCAGCACCTTGCATGGCAATTGCTGGAAGCTCATGTGGCTGGAACTATGAAGGAACCCTACACAAAACACAGACTTCTTAGTGTACCATCCAAGGCGCGAAGCTGATCCACTAGAGTTACAGATTGGAGCCGAGGCATTCCATCTTCCACAATCTTCACAGACACAAGCTCAATCCCTTTGCTTTTCTTGCCAAGGACGGTGGATGCCGATGGCAGTGGGGAGCCTCTAGGCTGCCTTGAGGGGATTTCTGGCGCACACCAGGCATGTCCGGCACTTCCTTCCCTCATGACTCCGTTCAAGTCGGAAGGGCATCCAGATGGTTGGTTGACCGGCCTTGAGCACCAGTCACTCTAGGGATTTGGACTGGTAAGGTCGGATCAAGAAAAGTCATTTGAGGACTGAGAAGGTAGGGTTTTCAGCCATCCTTCCATGCATCTATGGGTTTCTGAGCTGATGATTCATCAGATGGCCGATTTCTCCTGCCACCTTTTCACCGAGACAACACCCTTGAAACCGAGAAAAAACACGAAGAGAAACGGGTGTTTGTAGGCAGGGCGTAGGATCTTCCCTACAGCAGATTCGCATCGTTTCACAACCCATCACAACCCTGTGGCCGATCCGTCATACTCTGCAGGGGCCCAAATAAGGTTTTTCTAACCGTCCTGGATTCTCGAAATGGGAAACCCTTTGTAGAGGAAATCAGCCTTCCAGAGGCGGCCAGAGAGTCCATGGGTAGTACTCGACTCCAGAGTTAGATGGTGAGTGCTACAGAATCAATCATTGACATCACTTATGGACTATTGGTTTTGTCAGTGCTGACCACTGTAGATGGTTGATTGATGTTGATTGGTTTGCAGGGCGCGGCAGTGCATGCATTTTTCTCTTGATCATCGCTCAGGATATCGATCGAAGAGTTCGTGCACGGCTGCATGCAGCTTCAGGGTCCCGCACGTGGCTTGCAGGCCTTGTCCATATATGAGGGCGTGCGTCGTTGACTTGGACCCGAGTTCAACCCTCCAGATACCTCAGCGGGTTTGGTTGACAATGTGCGGATACACGTCCAACACCCCTTTTGAAGCAATTTGGCTGGGATGACCCTCCAACTTGCTAACTCTTTGCGATACTTTCGCGAAGGAGACAGGCATGGCAGGCTGACAGCTGTTTTGCCCCAAACGGCTCCACGCACCCATGGAGTCTGATCGTCTGGCGCTGCGGGATTGGCGGGGCGATGGCTTTGCGGCCCGAAAGGGCACTCGGAAGCGCCTGCAACAGCCCAAGAGGGGCAAAGCGGCCATTTGGGCAGAGATCCAGGGTCAAGGGCCACTTGGTGTTCAGATGTTTTAAGATCTATTGAGACTCAAGGTGTTGCTTTGGCTGGGAGGTGAGTGCAATGCCCTCACAAAAGCCTTGCAAACTTGCAAGCTCGGTTCGTTTCACTTACTCAATTTGCAGGGGTTCATCTTTGATTGGTGGATGCACTCCAGCCACCTGAACATGCGAAGTGAACTCAACGACGCCCAGGTCTGAAGTGCTGCGTGGCCGCAGCGCTTTCAAACGCAGCGCGCGGAGCCGGGACTTGCGTTGCGGGTCCCCCGAGTCTGGGGCTGTTCAGGTTCCGGGTGGTGGGATGGACCTTTAACGCTGACCCTCCCGGAGCCACCCCTTTCTTTTTAACTCAACTGTGGGAGCATGATGTGTTTGAAAGGCATGCATGCCTGCATCATTATGCTTGCTTCATCTTGATCTTCTATGCATTCGGTGACTTTTAATTAGGTGCAGGTGGTTTTACTCAAGGCATTCTGTTTGAAAGCTGCACCTTTTTGTGAAAGACACCTTTTTAATCCTTTTTTGATTCGTCACGGAATCGAACACTTAAGAGAAGAGATCTTCCTGGGGGAAAAGCAGGCGCTGTTCTTGAAATAAGCTCCGTTTTTTAAGACATTGAAGACATCTTTATGTAAATTTTGCAACTGTAGTGGACATTTGGACACACATTTGTCCTTGAAGGTACGCGGGTGGTGTTCTTTCAAGCACATGGTCTTGAAGCATGGTGCCCGTGCCAAGACTGGCATTCACCAGAGTAACATTGCATTGATTAAGGAATGTACTGTACTGTAGGTGGAACAGGTGTCTCACAAACCGCATTAATAAACTAATTTTGTTTTGCAAAAAAAAGCTTTGAAGGCTTCGCCAAGAGAAATTGTTTGCATAAAGAGGCAAACTTGTAGATAGCAAACCAATACTGTACGGAGGAGCCTCTTCAAAACAGCTTCTTCAATTTATGGGATATGGAAGGGGACACCTTCAAAGGAGCACATATATACATATTCATATTCATGACTTCCCCACAACGACTTTTACATGCACACAACACTCAGGAACTGTACTGCTCCACGCATGAACCATGTCCACAAAACCCGCGAACCAACGCTATAGGAACATTGTGAAAACACTGAGAAACTCAGGCCCCGTGTCCCCCACGCTCTCTTGTAATTGTTGAGGTGTTGCTTTCATTTGCTTTTTACCCTGGACCTCCCCTCCCCACCTGGTGGAATTGTCCCTTGATACAACAATTTAAAGATATCTAACTTGATCTCCATGGGGCAACTTCCAAGGAGTGGTATGGCAAGTGGGGCGTGATGTGGCGCCCCGGCACGCGCCGCCGTGCTTTGCGCGAAGCCACCCGTGTGGACCTCTTGGAGGTACAGTGGGAACGGTCGGAGGAGTTGACCGAGGCCGAGGAGTGCCAAGCCTCACCACGAACCTCGAATGAGGACCAGTGCCAGGTGAAGCTGGCCATGGATGACTGGAGCGAGAGTGAGAGTGAGAGTTCCTTTGTCTCCTGTGTTCACTCCTGTGCCACCACAGCTTCTCTCAAGGATGCTGAGGCCAAGCAGCCTTCGACCAAGTGCGAGGCTGCCAGCCCTTGGGAGTTAGCCTTGCAGCTGGCAGAGCTTACTGCCTTGACTTACGTGGCACAAAGCCTTGCTGGGGCACCTCTGGCAGCTCAAGTGACGAAGGCACCAAAACTGCTGCCCAGAAGCACTGCGCGAAAAGCAGAGGTTCGCCCAAGCTCCATCGAAGCCAAGCTTCGCTTGGATTACCAGACCAAGGTTTTATGGGAGGAGGCGGAGAAGGTGAAAGGAGGCTCCAAGATCTCCAAGGTTGGCCGCGGGAGCGAAATGGGCTGCAAGGTTCGCCCCAGCAGCTTGTCCAGCTTTGATCAGTTCCGCCGGAAGTTCTTAGAGGAGCATGGTCCTGGCTTTTGCTCCATGTTGAGGCGTACTTTTTGTACTCCACTCATGCTGCGACCTGCGCCTTTGGCCGTCCACCTCCAGCAGGACTTCTCACTGGCATGCGAAGAGCTGGAGGGACAACTGATTGCAACCTACCATGGCACCTCAGTGCGAAACTTCAATTCCATCTTCAAGAAGGGGCTTTTGATCCCAGGGTATGGGAACAACTTGAAAGTCAGCCATGGCAGTGCCCATGGGGTTGGCATTTACACTGCTCGGCATCCACAGCTCTCATTGAACTTTGCCAATGGGACCCGTTCACTCCTGGTTTGTGGGGTCTTGGACGATGCGAGTCATACCCCAAGCACCCACTTGGGAAGCTTCCTTGTGACGGCAGAGTCTGACACTATCCGACATGTGGGTGATGCTGTGGTAGCTTGCTTGGCAATTGGATTTGCTTGGAGGTTTGTCTTGGAGAAGCCAAGGTGAGGTCTTTTTCAATGTTATATCAACAGTTTTATTTATCACCCAGCCACTCCCTTAGCTTTGCAGCTTTGTGTAAGAGCAAGCAACTACTTGTAGGTCCTTGTGGGCAGTGACTTTACCCCTGGTTCCTATGATGATCAGATCAGACAACCAGTACCAAACTTGAATTCTTTATATAATTTGACTAAGCGATCTAAGGTGGATGTTTGCTATAATGATGATGCTATATAGTGTTTCTTTGGGGTTAAGTAGCCAATTCGTGGAGCATATCGCACCACCCCTTCCATACACCAATGTCCAGGTTATCCAGGCCAAAACAAGTAGAGCCCACCCCTCTCCAAGTGGTGGGTACGTGGTGCCTAGCTATGCAGCCGCTATTTTCAGTAAGGTTTCGGTTCGGTTGGAATCGGTTTGAATGTTTATATAACTGAAACTTCGAATCGGTTCGGTTTGGTTGTAGAAGTATTTTTTCATGGACTTTTGGTTCGGTTCACGGTTCGTTTTGGTTCTGGGAGGTATAAGTCTCGCAGTGGGGTAAAGAAAAGAAAGGCCAATGATAAAGAGACAAGACAAGACTAGACTATAGACTATAGACAAGACAGGACAGGACAGGAGAAAAAGGGAAAATGGAAAGAAAAAGGAAAGGAAAGGAAAGTAATTGGTTT